ACCTGATTTATGCATATTTTTGTACCAAAAATTTGGTACAAAAATATGCATAAATCAGGTGGTAATCAGGCAGTAATAAGTTTAAAATCGGGTACCTGATTTGTGCCTGATTTTTTATCTTTCGACCTGTATAATATAAAGCTAAAAGAAAATAAAAAGAATCAATCAGTTTTTCACTTTAAAAAAATCTATATAAGTAAAGGTATAAATTGATATTTATCTGGTATTAAGTGGCACTGCAATATGCTTCACAAAACATTTTGCGATGACAGAGCATATCTCTGAGCAATGCCTAATCTCATAATAATATTGTATTTAGCTATTATGATAATGTTCAGAATGACACTATGCTATGAGAGATTTTAAATCATTTTATCCACATAGTTTGGAGCTAAAATACAGTACGAATATGTAATTACAACTTATTACTTCGATTTGCTATTTCTCATTTTATTAAATGTCTTAAAACATCTGAAAAATTGATATTTTTTTATGGTATTTTTGTATATGACTATATTTTTATTGGGAGTATAAAGGAGACGATATGGCTATGTTATATAACTGCCTAGTGTTTTATTACATCTTTAGTAGTCAATTTATTTGATTTATTTAACTTTGATTTTCGTGTATGCTTATTTTCTGATTTGTACAGTACATAAATATAAAGCCATACACAAAAACTATATTAAAATAATTATGACTAAGAAAAGCTATTACAATATTTCATGATGACAGCGGAAGAAACTATGTAGAATGTATAATTTTTTTAATGTAAAATTAAAAGTTCATAATCAAATAATCGTACAATACCTTATCATTAATCCATTTCATCATCTTTGTCATAAAGATCATTTTTGTTATAAAGATCTTTATTGTAAAGGTCTCTGTTATAAAGATCTTTATTATAAAGGTCTTCTTCATAAAGATCCTCATTATTAGGGTCTTTGTCATAAAAGTCATCATAATAAAGACTATTGTCATCAAGAAAATTTTCTTTACCAAGAAAATATTCTTTATTGGGAAAATATTCATTATTTTGAGTTCCTGTTCTACCAAAAAAATCTGTAATAGGTTTTTGTCTTAATAATTCAATAGTTTTTCGTTTCATTAATGGTAAGTATTTTCAAAATATTTTCAAGTCTTTTTTATCAAAATCATTATTTATCTGTTGTTTAACAAACAAAATAAAGTTTTTTAGTTCATTTAGTCCTTCTGAGGCTAAAATATTTGGAGGCTCTTTGTCAGAGTCATCCAGATCACCTTGCTCATATTCTAATTGTTCTGCTAGCACGATTTCAACAATTTGATGATTGTCAAGTTTGTCTTCTGTAGATATTTGCGCATTATTTACTTCCCTATAAGTATCTATTTCTTGTACAACCATCAGATTAGTAAGGTCAATTATTAATTCATTAATTTCATTTTCTTTATTTTCTATTAATTCTAAAAATGCATTTTAAGCAACTTCAGCCTCACTATTTAACACCGTTAGCAGAATACCCGTTTTTTTCTAGCAATTCGCTATAGTCGACTCGTCTATTTTGTTCCATAATACTGCTATATACTCAATAGTCTCTTTAATATTTACTTTATTTCTAGAGTATTAAAAAAAAAAAAAAAGAGTAAAATGATTAAATTATAAAATTAAATTAATTTATATGATAATTGCTTACATTGGATCTTGAACATCTAAACCTTTTTCAAATTAATCTAATATATGCTGGATATATTTTTTTTGATACTTCATTTTGAAACATTTAATAATACTCACGTCCATGGGTTGAAGATGTAATATAGTAAGAGAAGGCAAAAATTCAATTCTAATATTTGTAAGGCGGTAATTAGATGAATTAGAAAGTGTGTATACACTTTTCCGATCTAAACCACGTTTGCCTTTACTTTGTTGCTGACCTCATTGATTAACTGGAGTAGTATTGTTTAACCTTGGATGACTATAACCCTGTTGACTAACTGGAATAGTACTATTTGACCTTGGATGACCACGACCCCAACTCTGTTGACTAACTGAAATGGTATTATTTAACCTTAGATGACCATGGCCGTGATCACGATTATTTGATTTAATTGCTAATTCTTCAAGACCACTGTTATTAGATTCCTTATCCGAATTATTTGAATTTGGATCAAAATGGCTTGTCGCATTATCAAGTATGAGCAAAATTCTCTGATTTTCATATTGAAATTAACTGTCGAGATTTTTTAACTACTCTCCAAATATGTCACTTTGTATCCATGCTTTGGGGTTAAAGCAATACATAACAGATAAGGTCTCATGGTTTATACTAACTAAAGCTCATGAT